TAACTATACCCTGTTTTTAAAACTAAGGGGTTGTATGCAAAATAAAAAAAACATTTTAAGTAGCTTTTGTCTAAACCAAAATTTCACCAATCTTTAAAGCATATATGTTGTGGACACATCTATATCTCTAAACCAATATTTAGCATACTGTGAGATTACCTCGCAGTTACCTGGTAACCATCTCTTTTTTTAAAATCCTTTATTTCTTGTTAAGTTTATGGTTTTCATGATAACCACACAGTTACCACCGTATCTCTGCATCTGGTTATAGCCGTAACCCCCTACGAACCCTGCATCCAACACATTAGTGAGATAAAGCATGAATAGCCTTTGTGCATGCAAATTAACTACTACACCATGCTTCCATCTTTTTCCAGCATGAAGTGACACAAGCATGGCGACCGGCCGAAAAGACAAGCACTAGGGTTTGGTTTGCATATGTACATGCACGCACGTACTGTGGTCGCTACTGGTCCATCAAGCTAGCTTCTTCTGCATCATGCACGCTTGGCAACTTAGGTCCCCATCTCTCGATGTCGATGTGTATACGCTTCACAGATAAGGCCCCACCACTTTGAGTTAACTGAGCTTGAACATTTCGTGAAATTAACGACCTTTGGTAGATGGAGGAGCAGAGATGATCAACGTGACAACGTGCGTGCAATTATGTCTTCAGTGCTACCTTGTTCAAATTTCCTAGTCTTTTTGCCCCTGCTGATGGGTGATGTAAGTTGTAGTAGTAGGTTGAGTCTCTTGCCTTTTGGTTTCGATGCTTTGATCTGTGAGTAAAAAACAGGATGGTGCTTTGGTCCTTGGGTCTGAACTGGAATCCCCAGTTAGTTTTATTCAGTAGTTGTTCTACTATGTTTGTTTTCGGGCTTTCCTTTCAAATCCGGGTAATGAAAGCTACTTTCCTAAAAAAAAAAGTTTCAGTACACGTAAGCATCCATATATCAGACATATTAGATCGATCTTAATTAGAACATGGTATAAATTAAAGAGCACGATCAAAAGAATACGTACATTCACACAATAGTACTATACCCCCCCCTCCTTTAATATTTGACTACATAAAAAAAATAGTGGGAGTATATCACAAATCAATTATGTATACTAGCATAGGAATATTAATGTCCTATGGTACTGGTAGAATAGTAAAGTCCTATGGTATGTCCTATGGTAATCAATTATGTATGGTATAGGATATTACTATTCCTATGTTAGTATACATAATTGATTTGTGATATACTCTGTCTATCCTAAAATATAAGGGATTTTAGACGGATGGGATACTTATTAGGATTACGAATAGGCAGGCTCTTTATCCACATTTGTAGTATTAGAAAATGTCCTATTCATCTAAAATCTCTTATATTTTAGAATAGGGCTATTCATCTAAAATCTCTTATATTTTGGAATGGAGGAGTAGGTGATATTGTTATGGTGTGATATTCTGATGGGTCCAAATGATCTCACTGATGTTTCTGCAGAGAGCGTATGCAGAGCATTTGCTCCAGTAGTCGATCCGGTCCACACTTTAGTCGTGAATGAGTAAAATGCGTCTCACTATGATTGGTGGAAGCGTCGGCTCGGTAGTGCCTGTCTTACTCAACATGTATGCATGATCATCTAGATCAGACTTTACAATATCGGGCCTCATCGATGGAACTTCCTGTTGGGTTGGTTGTATATAACGTATGACCGAATTATTGTATATAAGATAAATTGTTTGATTTTTTTTAGGGAGAGAAATTGTTTGATTGGCTGGATTAGATGAAATATGGTTACTCTTCTCTCGCGTGATAAGGTTAATTACCCTCACAACTCGAGGATATCCTGAATTCTATATTAATAATGTTTCAATTTATAAACTTAAAGGATATCCTGAATTATATATTAATGTTTCACCGATTTACCTCTTTGAGGCAGAGGAAGATCACCACGGCAATAGCTGCAGGATTTTTTTTCTGAGCCTGAGGGATTAGTTCGGTGAGGTGTTTTACCTGAGCGAACTAGGCCAAACATCCTCTTTGGGGCAACCAAACGTACAACCATTGTTTGCATCCACCCATGCGAGTGGGTTTTTTTAATTTTATGTTATCCTCATGAATAGTGTGGTGTGTTCTTAAATGCCACTCTCCTAAATAATCGGATTATTTGCTACCTTGGCGCATCAAATTGTTTTCATTTTGCCATTTTGACTGGCTAACTCAGCAAATCAGATGAAAAATTACCACCTTGCCCTCATCTTTTTCCTATCGCATACCCAATCTTGGAGGAGATGGAGGATGCGGAGAAGCAATAACGGAGGATAGGGCTGCGGCGGCAGGAACCTAAGGCACTGGCGCTCCTCTTCTTTCTCAACTTCAATGTGGTTATAGCAATGACGACGTGCCGATAACAGTATCTGAGGAGGAGGCAGAATGATCGACACTGGTGTAGGCACCGCTAGAGAGGAGGACGTCTGGGGCCACTGCTGTCAGAGGGGAGGGAGGCCCATGGCCGCCACCATTGTCGGAGGGGAGCGGGGCCCGGTGCCATTACCACCGGAGGGACGCAGCTGCCGCTGTCGTCAGAGAGGAACTGGGCACGGGGCGGTCGCTACCGAAGGGGGGTTGGGCGTGAGGCCGCCGTCGGAGGGGAGGGGCTCACGGGACCACTGCCAGATCTCGTCGTTGTTTTTGGGCTTGGGTAAAAGGAAGAAAAGGGACAACGTGGTCATTTGCGACTTATTGCCACGTCAGTTTGCTGAGTTGGCTAGATAAAATGGCAAAATAAAACTAATTTGATGGGCTTGGGTGACAAATAATCCAAGTTATTTGGAAGGATGGTATTTAAGAACTAGAGTTTTTATGGTCCAGCGCTCGGTACTGGTACCGCCCGGTACCAAAATCATCGAACTGTTGAATCCGGCATGGGTAGGATCGGGAGAAAAAATGAGCAAGGGTGGCGGGGCCGCGTTGTCGATCTAGGCAACGGCATCGTTGAAGTCCAGGCGGCGACGGAGTTGAAGTCCAAGCAGCGACGTCGTTGATCCAGGCGGCGGCGGCTCGTTGTTCCCGGTGGCGGTGGAGTTGAAGTCCAGGCGGCGGCACCGTTGATCTAGGCGACGACGGCTCGTCGTTCCTGGTGGCGGTGGAGTTGAAGTCCAGGCGGCGGCGGTGGCGTTGAAGTCATCGATCCTGGCGGCGAGGACTCATCGATCCTGGCGGAGTTGAATCCCGGCACCGACTGGCGGAGGAGAAGGAATCCCGGCTCCGACGGGAGGCTAGAGGAGGAGTCCTTCCTGGCACCTGCGGGCGGAGATGGAGGATTTCTTCCCGGCACCAAGGGATGCGCTCGTCGATCCCGACACTCCAGGCGGCAGCGGCTCGTCATTCCCGGTGCCGGCGGAGTTGAAGTCCAAGCGGCGGCGGCTCGTCATTCCTGGCGGCGGCGGTGGCTCGTCGTTCCTAGTGGCGGTGGTGGCGTCGATCCAGACGGCGATGGCGTTGAAGTCGCCGATCCACGAAGTTGTTGCACGTTTGCGCTTCCACCTCTGTTCTCTGGAGGTACCGTAGCAGGAACAAAATTGGTACCTTGCGGTACCAAACTCTACCAGCCGTTGGATCCGGTTAGATCCAACGACCAGGATTTTGGTACCGGTCCATACTGGTATCGACTGTTGGAAGGTAAAAATGCTCATTTGAGAACATACCATCCGGGAGGATGGCATGGCGTAAAGTCCACGACCTCTCACCCTCCGTATCTCATACAGACAGATAACCAATTAACCATACACGCCCATATATACCAGTACCAGATACACAGTGCAGTACTAAAAAAATACTAAGCTAGCTATCTGTACAGTAGGCACGAGTGTTTCCGTCATGGCGTCAATTCATTGACAAGGGCAAAAGGAAATGCCCTTTCCGTCACACTCATGGATTGAAGAGCCTTTAGGCCTCGTTTGAAACAAGGAAAAACCATAAAGAATTTTATTGTCTGAAATATTTTATGGAGCTATCTGAAATAAAGGATTGTTCTCTGCCCTTCCTGTGAAATGAACCATTCTAGATCAAACATGTTTTTCTCTCCATACGTATAGACTATAGAGTTTCTCTTTTTTTTCCCGTGCGTTAATCAAATGACAGTTTGAAATTTTTCTATGATTTAAAATCCCATAGGAACCCAATGAGTATGATATTCTATTCCTACGTTTTAAAGAGACCCTTTAAATATATATCTCTCTACATAGTGATCAGTCTGGGGCTCTAGGCTGAGTTCGAACCAATAGTTTCATAGTGACTCATTAGCATATAATTAATTAAGTATAGCTAATAAAAACTTGAAAATAGATTAATATATTTTTAAAGTAATTTTTAAATATATTTTTTAAAAGAATACTCCATTCGTTTCAGGTTATAAGAAATTTTGACTTTAGTCAAAGTCAAACTGCTTTAAATTTGATCAAGTTTGTATAAAAAAATAGTAACATTTTTAACCCAAGATAAATTTATTATGAAAATATATTCAATTATTGATTTGATGAAACTAATTTCGTATTATAAATATTACTATATTTGTTTATAAACTTAGTCAAACTTAATACAGTTTGACGTCTTATAACCTGAACGGAGGGAGTACCGTTTAGCAATTCCACAAACTTACTCGAACCAGATATTATAGGTTGGTAACCTGCCCATCCGAGCAACGTTGCAGCATGGACTTTAAGATGTAACGTGTGTATGACAGGTGAGACCAGATATTAATAGTATAGTAAACAAATATTGTATGAATTGGCTATTATACTGGTTTTAGATAATTTGAAGCTAGTAGCTGGCTATTAAACTTGCTCTTAAGCTCCAGCCTGCAGGCAGCACTAGCAGCGGCACTGACGGCATGTGTGTGCATGCAATGCAGCTGCTCTTGTTTGTCCCGGCTTCCCTGTACGTATGTGTTTCCGTGTTAATTTCTGTCTCTTTTTCAGACAACCTCTCGCACTGACGTACCTGAATAAAGTCCAAACCTTCGGCTTTTTCTCCCCTTCTCTCACACACACTTTTTCTTCCTTCCCACTTTGCAAGATCCCCTCTCCATTCTCTGATTCTTCTCTCCTCCTCTCATGGTCTCTTGTGGCACATGGACACTGCTCGTCCAGTCCATCCCTTGCGTGTGCATGGCGAGAGCATCCGCGGCCTCCTCCTCCTCCTCCTCCTGTTCGTCGTGCAGTGCTCGCTGCTCAGTTGCTGTTTGGCGCATGCCGCCGCCGCCGCCGACGCCGTCGACAGGGACGACCCCGTTGTGACGGCGACGGCCGGCCGGGGCCGGCGGTTTCTCCCATCGCCGGCGCTGCAGCTGCACTCCGTGCAGGTGAATGTGGCGGCTCATCCGTGGAGCAAGGAGAGGAGGAGGAGCAGAAGAAGAAGAAGAAGAAGAGCCGCCACGTTGATGGCCGTGAGCAAGCATCAGGTGCCCACCGGCGCCAACCCGGACTCCAATTAGCTAGGCAGTAATTAATTAGCTAATTAACCTAGTAAAGAACACTGCGAGAGCTCTATTTGCCCCTGCCATGCATTCTGTGAGATGTGATGAGATGTCATGAGCGATCTACCGTGTATGTATGTATGTTTTAGCTTGTTGAGCCTAATATGTTATTTTCGTCTTATTTAATTTATTTATGTCATGATTTCTTTTCATTTTATCTTTATGTTCAGCGTTTTGATCCTGTTTTTTCCCTTAACCTTTCTCTACTACTAGTAATGTATGTTTTCCACAAAATATATCATATGGAGTATGCACAATCACTCACACATTCGTAAAACGGAATCTATGTTTTCAAATTTATATAACATTCTTGTCCACCTATAACTTGAAGAAAGTAACCAACATTATACAATTGCAGCCTCGCATGGAACTAGAACTACTAGTGAAGTAGTAAAATTACCAAAGGTCTGAACGAAACTAAAAACATGGAGCAAATAGTAAATATGAACATTAACTTACAAAAATGGAGTAAAATTTGTAGATAAATAATTTATAGCCAGGGAAAATGGAAATTCCAGCGGTTTTTGAAACAGGGCCCTAATTATCGAATGGGTCGCCTCCATCACCTCCATCCGCGCCATCGCCGTCTCCACCGCCGTCGATCATCATCGGCGCCGCCACCACCTTGTCGTCGTCCGGAAAGACTTCGTTGTACTTAAGGACGGTGTTGTCCTCGAATTTGAACTCGAATTCGCCATCCATGATATGGTTTACCATTTCGGCTATTCGTTCGGTGTCAAGCTCCGCGACGCCCAGCTGTGTGTCGCCGTCGCCGTCGGCTATGGCGCCGTAGCCGTCCTCGCCATCCACAAGCAACGCTGGCTGCGGCTCCTGCGGTTGATGCTGATGCTCGTGCTGCGCCTGGACGCCGCCGTTGTAGCCGGCGAGCTCCGGGTGGTTGTAGTTGCTGCCGGCGGCGTCATGCGGAGGCGAGAGCCGGTGGTGGTTGTCGACGGCTGGTGGTGGCGCCGGTGAGCTCGTCGGCGGCGTCATCGGTTCCGGCGGGATCGCCGCGGTGGGCAACGGGTGTTCCAGCATGTACGACGTTGGATTCGCCGCCATCCCGAGGTAGCCGTCGTGCTGCACAGGCTCGCCGTTCGGTGACGGCCACCACCCCGTCGGCGAGCTCTGCGGCTCCTCCCAGCTGATCGTGCTAGGAGACGGCGGCGCCACGGCGCCGTACGTGATCTCGAACTCGTCGTACCAGTCTTGCAGGAGCTCCGACGACGGTGTAGACGCCTGCGACGTCGAGGCCATGTTCGCCTGGTCCGCCATGGACATCATCCCTCCAGCCAGGCCCGGCAATGATAGTGGCAGCGGCATCGCCGACGACGACCCGGCCATGCCCGGCATCTGCTGTGCAGGCAGCGACATCGCAGACGACGATCCGGCCAGGCCCGGCAATTGCAGTGGCAGTGGTAGCGACATCGCCGACGACGATCCGGCCAAGCCCAGCAATTGCAGTGGCAGTAGCGGCGTTGATGACGACGGTCCGGTCATGTCCGGCAATTGCAGTGGCAGTAGCGGCGTTGCTGATGATGGTCCGGCCATGTCCGGCAATGGCCGCGGTGGCGTAGGAGGTGACAGTGCCGACGACGTGGAGGGCTCGTCCGTGCTCGACGCCGCGGCGGCAGCGTTCACCGGTTCTTCGTCCTCCTTCCTTTTGATCTTGTACAAGCGGTACACGGCAAGGTCCTCAAGCTTGGCAAAATCCACAGAAATTGATCCGCCCAAATTAGCACAAATTGCATCCAAAATTCAAATTCAAACAACAAAAATCGATCAATCCACTTGAGCATAATTAGTAAATTACAAGACGAACATAACAAAATGTTTAAATATACTCGCTCTGTTTTATATTATATACAAGTCGATCTTGACTTTCTCTTTTTTTAAGTAAAACTTTTTAAGTTTAACCAAAATATAATAATACTTTTAACATAAAACAAACATATTATCAAAATATATTCAATATTCAATGTTTACATTTAATGAAAATGATTTTATATTGTAGATGTTGAAAATGAGTTTAACTTGAAAAAAATGTCAAAACGACTTATAATACAAAATATAATGGAGGAAGTAGATTGCAACGTAACGCAGATTGATTTAAGTTTAAATTCGAATTAGATCAACAAGGACTACTTGGTTTTTTGAGCCATCAATGATCTTGGTAAACTCGTGCATGCCCCAATTGGTCTTGATGGGGTTCTGGTCACCCTCGAACCTACGCTCGTAGAACACCATGGTGAGCTTCTGGCCGACGTCGATACCGCCAACCTTCTTGCTCCTCAACGTCTTGCTCCCACCAGACGCCTTCCACGTCCCGCCCTTCGCCACCCGTGTCGGCCGCCTCTTGTTCCTTGCCTTTGTCGTGAACTGCCTCCTGCTAAAGAAGTAGATGTACCCATCCTCCTCATTCCCGATGTACGTCTCTACACACGTCATCACCATAGAAGAAGAAGAGGAGGAGGACGGTGATTGATGAAGGGTGAAAGAGAGAGGTAGAGAGGCGGCGGCGAAGCGGGCATACCATGGAGGAGGGCAGGGTGGAATTCGAGGATCCTGATATGCTCGAAGACGTTGTTGAGGGCGCCGGGGAGCTGGCTGCGGACGAGCTTGCACCTGAGGATGGCGAAGAGCTCCAGGTCCTTGGGGACGAAGTAGCAGCCGACAGGCATGCCGTGCCGGTTCTTGCCGTACTCGGGCACCACCTTCTCCTTCCCCTTCCACTTCCCATTGTTGTTGCCATCGCCGCCGCCGCCGCCGCCTCCTCCTAGTGGTTGTTCTGCCATGGCGGGCGAGTTAGTTGGTCAGAGTTGTAGTTAACCAGGAGAAGGAGAGAGGATTAATTAGTCAGCGAGATAGAGAGAGCTAGCCGAGCCGTGATCAGTCGCGGCGGCGGCGCTCGCGCGTGGCGTGGCGTGGCGAGGGCTGCATATTTGAGGGGAGGGCGTGAGGCGGCTGTTTGATTCGAATTCAATTTGGGGGGGAAATTGAAGGGGAGTAAGAGTAGGAATACGGTGCAAATATGATGTAAGAGACCGGCTGCTATTTCCAATTTTGGTATGCAACATGACAGCCAGCCGGAGACGACGACGGCGGCGGCGAAGGACGGAGAGCTCGCCGTCTGATTGAGCCGGTATGACCTTCTTCCTGATTTTCTCGCAGAGCTCCCCTGATTCGACCACCTGCTCAGTCCCCTCCCTCTAGCGACGGATTTCGCCGCCGTGAACTCGCCGACAGCTTCCCCTCCTCGGCCGCCGCCGCGCAGGAGGGGGATTGGTCGAGTGTGCCACCAGCCTCACGGCTCCCGACGGCCATAGCCCCCCTTCTCTCTTCCCACTTACTTTGCCCCCCCTAAATTTCTCTTGATTTGGGAATTCCGCCGGGATTCCTCGAAGCAGACGCTGTGATTTAGGGATTTAGAAGCTGCGTGGCTGTTCTGTAACTTCTGTTTAGTGAAGAGAAGTTTATTTGGGTTCTCTTATGTGTTGGTGTGTCGATGACCTTCTTTGCGGTCTCTCTGATTACTTGCAGTGGTGCTTGTTTCACAGATGGAGATGGGGATGAATTCTGTGCAGCCAAATGCTCAGTTTCATGTGCCGCACAAGTCCCTCTCGTTGGATATATGTAAGAGCCTTTGCTCTAGTAACTTTTAAGCATATATGATGAGTGCATTGCATATGATTGCGATAAAAACACCTTCAAGAAAACAGTCTGATAAACTGTTCCTGGATTAGAACTCAATTCAACATGTCATCGCATATCGTTAGCCATTGCCCGTAAGAACAAGTTTGTTCTGTCGTTGGATCAGAACATGATCTGCATTGGCTATCATTGCTTTGTCGATTGTTATCACTTTGGCAAATTGTCACTGTCTAGTCCTTGCAAGAACCACATCTGCATTGTTTGGTGTTAGTTATTTCAGTTCTTTGCGTGCAGCTAACTTATTTTCCTTCTTGGTTTTCTAGGGCAATAAGACAGATATTGTTATCAGCAAGTATGAGGGTAGCTTTATGGTTAGTTACACCTTGCAAGTGTTATTTATTCGATTGGATGACAAGTTTTCACATATAAAATATGCTCACCTAATCATAAAATCTACAGGTGATGGTGACACAAATAGGATGCATGGGAACCATATTAGCTGCCAGGTATGTTTTTTATTCTCCCATATAACATGGTTTATTTTGGGCATTGCTAGTTCAGGATAGACAATTCTTTCCATGCTTTTAGTACTATCGAAATTTGAAACCTTTAGCTCTCAGCTTTTTGCTGATGTTTCTGAAAGAACAGTGAGAATCCATCCACAATTCCGCATACATATGTTGGTGCGTTTATCCCCTAGTTGCAAAAAGGCTAGGAAACTGTTGAGCATAGATTTCGGAGTGCATGTCAGGTCATAACTCATAACCTCATGATGCTACAGTTTATACAGGATAATGCTTCTGTTATTTCTTAAACACGATAGATGATAGTTGACAGCTAGTACTTTATTGATGATGTACCATTGTAGTTGTTATTATGTGCTGTATTTCCTGTCACTTTAGTATTTCTGATCATGCTTTCTTGCTCATTAATAGGAAAGATGAAAGTGTTTTTTCTGATCCAACCTACAATGTTCTTTTTGGAAAGAGGGATGAGGTAAGGTTATTATACTGTTCAATGTAGGGTCTGACCATAGATAGATCTAATGAATGTGCATATTGTTGTGATCACAGCCGTTACTACTAGCTTGTGCACGCCAACTTATCGAACACATAAGGTAAGATTCCCTCCCACCCCACCCCATATATCCGAAGAACTTCTTGTATGATATATGCTTGCTTCTCATGCAACTAAAAATTAAACTTCATGCCAATTTCGTGGATAAGAAATATAATTGAAACTGTGTCTGCATCTGCCTATGATTCCATTAAATTTTGAATGTAATTTTCACCAATAAGCTCCACTTCTTCTAAGCTGCTCTTGGCTGAGTTCGTTTGCATGAGTTCCCAACTCACTCTGACCGTTTTTCGCGCGCACGCTTTTCAAACTACTAAATGGTGTATTTTTTGCAAAAAATATTCTATACGAAAGTTGCTTTAAAAATCATATTGATCCATCTTTCAAAAAAGAATTAGCTAATATTTAACTAATCATGCTCTAATGAATCGCTCCGTTTTTTGTGCGGGAGGGATTTGCTCCCAACAAGAAGTAACAAACACATCCTTAGATGCAAATGTCTCCAGCAATGGCCCTTTTAATTGTGGTCAATGATTTTTTTATCTCACGCAACTATTGTGACACTTCGGTTGCTGAAGTTAGTTACATAATTTGTCCAGCTCTGATTTGTAAACTGTCCTTTGGCACCTGTACCACACTCCATTTTCTTACAGACACGGTCATTGATGATATCTCTTGGTCTGAAGGATCATTCCCAGGTATTATTTGAACTTCCCTTCATATGACTGTAATTCTCCGTGTTTTTCTCCTGAATCTTGCCAAATCAGCGAGCATGGTCGACTGTACTGTGCATATCAGTGTTTCTGAGGTTAGACCCCATTATTTTGCATTGGAATCAATAGTATTCTCGTGCATGTATCTCAAACAATTTTGTTACTTCTGCAGGCAACAATGAAATATATTGTTTCCACCATAATTGAGAACCGCCTATAGTAATAGTTTTGCATATCGAGCTGGGGTTGGAATGGCTGGGCACATATCTATTCACTTCATCAACAGAGATGTTGACATGATTAGTGCTGAGCAATTAACACTCTCTTACCAATCTAGAATTTTGTAACTATGATTTCTTCGGAGTCGATGTATCACAAAGTAGTTATATAACCAAAGTTATAGCGAGAATTGCACTACTAGCTTTGATGAGTATTTCATCTACGAACTTCTGAATGCTAATGGTTGTATTCATGTTGCTTTGCTAATTTGTGGCCTAAAATCGCTCGTTGAGCTCAGCAAGCTTGGACCTCATTGGCATTCTATATCTAAGCTCATGCCCCAGCTCGAGATCCTCACCAGATCGCATGCCAACAATGGACTTCGCACATCCTTTTGGAATGACTGCTGGCTCACCGACAAATGCTTACGTCTACAGTACCCTGCTCTCTTCTCGCACTCCCTGTTCCAGGCGGCGTCGGTGTCTTGGACGCTTTCAAGGTCCATCGGCTCTACTTTGGCACCACGACTGTTCACAAGAGCTGTCCCAGCTTACACTGGCTTTGCAAGATGTTTCCCTCTCGGGGGAAGAGGACCTCAGATTATCGCCGCTTTCACAACAAGGTGATCTCACTACGAGGGAGATTTACCATACCCTATTGCCACCGTCAGAAACAGATCTAGTTCACAACTTCATCTGGAAGAATGCCTCACCTCCAAAGTTTAAATTCTTTGCATGGTTGCTCTCAAAGGACCGATTGTCAACTGCCAAAAACCTATTTACCAAAATAATCCTCCAATCACCTCAATGTGCAATCCGCCAGACAGGGGAAGAAACGTCAAATCATCTCTTCTTCATGTGCCCCTTTGCAACAGCTTTTTGGACGACAATCAGAGTTCCGCCTAATGTGACCGAAGTGAGCAACATCCATCTCTTAGCCCGGCCACCTAACATTCCATCAAAACACTTCAAGACCTTCTATCTACTCTGCTTTTGGGGTCTCTGGAATCGCAGACATGATGTCGTCTTCCGTGACTTCCAACCGTCAGTCCAACGGTTGATCCTACGCTGCAAGGAAGAATCATTGCTATGGGCAGAGCGTCTTAAAGTTAACGACAGATTAGAGGCTAATGTTTGGTGTAATATTTTTTCAAATAGCCTGTCTTCTCTACACCCATAATAGCTAGCCCTAGGGCTGAAGCATGTACCCCCCATGTAACCTAAACAATGGTTTTCAATGGAAGATTCAGGTGGGGAACCTCTCCCCTCCGGTTACTATTTCAAAAAAAAAAATTGTGGCCTAAAATTGGTGAAAGCAAAGCACTTTTCAGGAGCATATTTATTTGGTATTTCAAGGTCGTTTTTTTTGGATGGAATTTTGTTAATAATCTATATATACCCTCTCTAGAGCAACACATGACTTGCACTGTTGTGGTGCGGGTACGCAAAACGAGAAATCCATTAGCGCGTGATTAATTAAGTTTTAATTATTCCAAACTTGAAAAATGGATTTATCTGATATTTTAAAGCAACTTTTATATAAAATGTTTTTGTAAAAAATACACCGTTTAGCAGTTTTAAAAACGTGCTAACGGAAAATGAGGAAAAATCTGTATCTTTATGAGGTTAGAACAGGAGGAGCATCTCCAACAGCCTCTCCATTCCACTCTCCAAGCTAAATTTTAGCAATTTTAGAAAAAAAATCCACTCCAACAGAATGGCTGTCCCCCAAAATATATCAATGGCCAAAATACAATTTGTAAATATTTTGTATTCCTTCTTTTAATTTAATTTATTAACTGTGGGGGCTTCCCCTGCAGTGTTTCCCCTAAAAGAACAATATATCAATGGCCAAAGATAGGCTCGAGATGGCCAAATGTGGCTAGCCGTTGGCCACCCTCAGCCACTGGCTATCCGTGGACCCCACCATCTTTTTTCCCTCTCTCCCCACCATCTCCACCATCCCTTGCCCCCGTGCCCTCCTTCCCTCTGCCTTTCGTCGCCGCGCCATTCCTCCCTCCGCTCGTGCCTGCCGCTGCTATGGGGAAGAAGGCGCGCCGTCGCTCGCTTACATCCTCCACGTGTGCTCGCCACCGCCGCTGGTAGGAGCGTCGCCGCCGGGTCAAGCCCCTCCGCCGAAGAGATGAGAGACTACAATGGCACCGAGGAACACTAGCCCAACCACCACCAGCGTCATCCACAGGCAGCACGTGCAGCACCACCCGCGTCGGCTCCGCCGCCGCCTGCATCGGCTCCGCCGCCGCCTGCATCGGCTTTGCCCTGTACATCTGCGGCGGGGGCACGAGCCCTGGCACCATCGGTGGTGGCCGCGCCGCCGTTCGCCGCCCGCGGCACCACCACGAGGGACCGGCTTGGAGGCCGGCACATATGTCGCCCATTCTCTCACACATGCTCCTGCTGCTGCTCGGGAAAATGGGAGAAAAATGAGGAAGAAGAAAGAGTTGAGGCCGACATGTGGGTCCCACTGTCATACACTTAGAATAGAGAGGATGTATGGAGAGGCTATTGGAGTAAACAACAAATTTGACTTGCTGGATTAAATGGAGAGTTGGCTAAATAGATATTTGGATAGTCGGATTCGGAGAGACTGTTGGAGATGCTCTTACCCACCACCACAAATCTTAAAGTACATCCAATAATCGAAAATTTAAAAGTTTTGAGGAAGACAAACTGTTGGAAGTCTTTTAGCAAATCTTAAGGGATAAAGCGCCATTAAACAAAAATTGAAAATATACTTGGCATTAGAGCCGTACGTTCTGAATTAAAGATTTATGGATCGAGCAATATCATCATTATTTTATTTTCTTTTGGTTTTGAAGACCACTTATATCGGTAAAACTTCAAAATCATTTAGAGGTTGTCGGTGATTTCGTTGGTCAACGTGATACTCGTGTGGTCTCACGTCTTTTTAACCTTTGTGCATATACCTCATGGATTATTAGACATCTTTCACCACCTCTAACGCCGTGTTTGTTATTTTTTCTTGAGTACTATATGCTGCTTTTGGAATCGTGATTTTAATTTACAAAGTGGATTCTTAAAAGCTGATTGTGAATTTGGCTTTGATACAAATGAAACTCACAATTAATATGATTGATACTCATAGCAACAATTTTAGGAAGAGAAAATTCATGAAATGCCATCGACAAGCACCCTAATCCCAAAAATACCATCGACAAAGACAACTTCCTAAAAATGCCATTGCATAAGTCTCTTTCTCCCAAAAATACCATCACCGTCAAACTGATGTTAACATCTTTCCGTTAAATTGTATGAAAAGACAATCTTACCCTAAGGCAACCATTTACTCACACAACATCATTTTGCATTGTTTGCTTACAACAACATTATATTTCTGTTAGCTTCTAAATTTACACACATCATTATTTTGCTATCAATCAAATTATTTCATAATTAAATTAACAGAAATCAAATTTCAGAGCAGAGACCACCACAAGACTAGGACTATCAATAATTTCAGAAATTTTTTGCTATCAATCTGAGCTAAAACATCAGGGCAATCAACACACAAAGTACCAATTGTAATCAACATGAATTTTCACAAAATGAAGGGTTCAAATGAAATCAAACAAAAAGGAAAAAAATTTCAACATCAGAGAACTTGCTAGGACTGCAACCTCCTCCTCCATGGCGACCTCAGCGACTGCGGCTATGGGCGTCTCCTCCCCCTTCTCGCCGACGCCTGCGGGCCTCTCCTCGCTGGCCCTACGGCCCCCGCATCGCAACTTGCGACCTCCTCGCCGCGCCCGGCCGCGCCGCCCCTGTGGACCTCCTCGCCACGCCGCTACCTTGGACCTCCTCGCCGCGCGCTGCCGCGCCGCCTCTATGGACCGCCGGCATAGTGGCGCCACCGCAGCCGTGAGAACGCTGAATCGGTATAGGTATGGTTAGGGTTAGAAATATTGTTTCATCTCTGTTTTTCTTTGACTGTGAAAACTAGGTATATTTTGCACCAAGGGCAAAAATGGTCATTATAAAAAAAATAACGGTTGTAACGGTGTGGGGTTGACGGTGATGGTATTTTTGGGAGAATGAAGCTTGTGCAATGATATTTTTGGGAAGTTGCATTTGTCGATGTTATTTCTAGAATTAGAGTGCTTGTCGATGGCATTTCATGAATTTTCTCTTTTAGAAAACGATATCATCACTCAAAATCCACAAAAGCAACTCCATATCATCTTTTGGATTTTAGGAATTAAGAATATATTTTAGTTACGAGAATTAGCTTCCAAAATCAAGTTTATTTATTTATTTTTATTTTTTTCTTTTGATTATAGGGTCTAGATCGAATCAAAAGAAAAACAGATAGTGCCTAATTATTTTCATGTCCACGAGATGACAATAGATTTTTAGGTGTTATTTTACCTTCTCAGTACATTTTGACTGGTCAAAACAGTCAACCATTAAGGGCTTATTCGGTTTGTAGGATTTTCAAACCGTAGGAATAGGGAAAACATAGGAATAATATGGAAATACATGTGCAAACCTATGGATTGAAAACATAGAAAATTTTCCTATGGTTGAGTTGCAAACAATCCAAAGGATTGAAAACATTGGGTTGGAGTGGATTATTTTTTTCCTTTGTTTTCCCCCTAAAAGTGGAGGGATAGGAATTTTTCCTTTGATGCATTCCTTTGAAACGAATAATAGTATAGTGCTCATTCCGAAGGATTGGATATTCCTATATTTTTCCTGTAAAAATCCTTTGAAATGAATAAGCCCTAACAATGTAACCTTGTTTTTTTTCTGTAAGAGGTATTCATATTATAACATATTATTATAATATTATAAGTCGTTTAACTATTATTTTAGTCAAATTCTTTAGGTTTGATCAAATTTATATATGAAAATAACATTATTTATAACACCAAATTTTATTAAATCTAACATTGAATATATTTTGATAATATGTTTGTTTTGTATTAGAAATGTTAGTATATTTTTATACAAACTTGGTAAATTTAAAGATATTTGACTAAGACTTATAATATGAAACGAAAAGAGTAATATTATTTTGTTCCGTATTTATAATAATCCCTAAATTAATAAATGGATATGCAGCCTAATAAGAGCAGGTACAATAGCAGGCTATAAATCAGCTGCAAACATAAGGGCAGTAGGCTACAGATTTGTAGCCAGCTGTAGCACTGACTCCAAGACGCAGTGTGTGTATGATAGGTAGGACTGTGGATTAATAATGTAGTATGTATCTATTGTATGAATGAGCTATTAGATTAGTTATAGATGAATTAAAGCCAGTAGTTGGCTATACTATTAAACTTGCTCTAATAATACTACTATAGTAATAATAAGACACGGAGAGAAATTTTCAACGAAACGCGAAAAAGGCAGTATTTTACTAGTATATCCCGGATAAATTTAAGACAGCCCAAATATTCCTAAAACGGAGCCGAGGACGCGAGGCGAGAGCCGTATATCCGCTTACGTCACCTCGCTGCTTGGCCTTGTTTCGCCAAGCCGCCCCCAGACCCAGACAAGTCGCAGCCATGGCGATCCCCCGCATCTCGCCGCGCAAAACCCTGCCCCTCTTCGCCGCCCTGGCCCTGGCCTTGGCCTGGGCCTTCGCCGCCCCGGCGTTCGCCGACGGCGACGACGTCGTCGCCCTCACGGAGTCCACCTTCGAGAAGGAGGTCGGCCAGGACCGCGGCGCCCTCGTCGAGTTCTACGCGCCCTGGTTCGTTCTCGTCCCCTTTGTCTCGCCAGATCCCTGCGTAATTCGGCTGGATCGGGTCGGGTCGGATCGGATCCGTGTGTGGGTCGTGAATAGTGATGCGGGATGCGAGGTCTGGGGATCTCTACGTTTTTGCGGGGTTTAGCGGACTTTGACTCTTAGATTTTTTCTTCTCTCTCTCTATATATATTTCTCATAATTTGCACTTATCTTATGAAATTGATTGGATAGTTATAAACTTGCTGCCTTACTGGAAAGAATCATCCATACGAATTCGATCCTTTTTGTCTATCTGGATTTAGATTGTCAGCTGTAAATTTGTTTCGACTTGTAGTATTTTAAATCAGGTATTGATGGGTGGAAATTTAATACTGTTGTTGGTTACAAAAATTAGAGTATTTCTATAAAAGCAGGGCGCATTCTAAGCCTTTTATCTAAAAAAACAAAAATTAGAGTACACATGGCAAATTTTTTGTTAGGGTTTAAGCAGGAGGTTTAAATGTGCCTTGTAGCTTAGTTACTTGTTGTGCAGTCTACTTGTGCTCTACTTCTACTAGTGACGTAAATCCAATTTGGCATTTCATTTTTTAATTAATACCTGACTCTGTTTATGATATCGCAGTTTAGGTTTTGTAAAATTCCGGCTAATTTTGCACTTGCCTCTTGATGGAAATAATAGAATACCATAACTTTGTAATTATGCTACTATCTATTAAATGGATTCACAAAAGAAGCAGGCCAAAATTATATTTTTCCTATTTCATGACTGCTAAGGGGTGCGATTCGGGATATTTATACTGTGTTAGAAACAAAACACTGCTGTAAATACCTAGTAACTTGTATCGATTGATTTTTGCTGAATCCTGTAAATGCAGCAAGTTTTAGTTCATTATATCTTGAGGGAGTCTTGTGAGATGTTGAATGCGATTATATGAATATAACTGATCTGGAGATATTCATAGAGAAGCTTCTATAGTTTGCTTATCACAGTGCTCGCGTGGCCATATTTGCTCCTGTTGTTGTGCCTTCTCAGATGTATTACTAGAAAAACCATGCTTAAATATTTGTGCATCAGTTCAGCATTTCAAAGATATCTAGTGTTACTCATCGGTCTATCTATCTGGTTAGGTGTGGTCACTGCAAGAAGCTTGCCCCTGAGTATGAAAAGCTTGGTGCAAGTTTCAAGAAAGCCAAATCTGTCTTTATTGCAAAGGTATGTTCTCAAGTTCAATACCTGCTAATTATTTGGGCATTGCTTGAAAATATTTTCTCATCTCCATCCTGCTACTCAGAGGTGGTCAGAAAATGGTTAGAACATGCATATTCATGAAATGTGTTGCCATCCTCATTTTGATTTGGTTTGATAAAATTAAGGATTCTCACTTCAACTCTATTTCTCGCTTTAGGTTGATTGCGATGAGCACAAGAGTGTGTGCAGCAAGTATGGAGTTTCTGGGTACCCAACAATTCAATGGTTCCCCAAAGGATCCCTGGAGCCCAAAAAGTGAGGCTGCATAACTTTTGTTCAAATACTTTTGAACATCTACACCAGACAAAATTTTCATGATTTATATCACTACAACCATGTAGGTATGAAGGACAACGCAGTGCAGAGGCCCTTGCTGAATTTGTTAACACTGAAGGAGGTAACACTTCAAACTTATAATAATAGAGTTAGACGGTTAGTAGCTGGTATGGTGCCATGGGCTGGGAGTTCTGGATATCTCATATTTCCTTGAAAATTCTGTTTGGTGTGCAAGTCTTAGTTTCCACAAACAGCTTCTTGAGTTAATTCATTTTTGTATTTATCTCTTCACTCGGTTACAACAGCATATAATCATGAATTTTCCTGATTTCAGGCACTAATGTAAAGCTGGCAACCATTCCTTCAAGTGTTGTAGTGCTTGGCCCAGACAACTTTGACTCAATTGTTCTTGATGAAAACAAAGACATTCTTGTGGAGTTCTATGCGCCATGGTATGCTTTTGTAAAGTTGTCTTACTTTTTTCCTCCATAATCTTGACACAATTTTTGCATGATTTTTCATGAATGAATTTTGACTGGATGCTAATTTTGATCCATAGGTGTGGCCACTGCAAGCATCTTGCTCCGGTTAGTGGATAACTCTACCCAAAGTTTGTTCTACATGTTATGTTTACTTTTGAAAGTTTCAGTTGTTCTCGACGTGCCAACTAATATTCTTGTTATTATTTTAGATATATGAGAAGCTGGCTTCTGTTTATAAGTTGGACGATGGAGTTGTAATTGCTAACCTTGATGCTGACAAACACAAAGACTTGGCCGAAAAGTATGTTCTGACTTATCCGTAATGTTATCATCTGCGTTCTGTTTTTCCTATTGCTGTTAATCTTGTGCCCTGAGATGCTACAGTTTTCCCATGGACACAAAACAACTCATGTTATGGGCATGCTTCCAGCACTTTAAACTCATGTCTTGTTCTATATTTTGATTTCATGATGCACTACATAAGTTTTGACTTGCTTTATGACTTTTAGATATGGAGTTTCTGGCTATCCTACATTGAAGTTCTTCCCAAAGGGAAACAAAGCTGGTGAAGATTACGATGGCGGCAGGGAGTTGGATGACTTTGTCAAGTTCATTAATGAGAAGTGTGGTACCAGCCGTGATACTAAGGGCCAACTTACTTCAGAGGTTGGTTGAATGCATATAAAACTTCTTTGCATGGGTGAGCTCATGCAAAAGACTACCTGTTCTGACTATACATTGTTTATTGTTGTGGTAGGCGGGGCGCATAGCAAGTTTGGATGCCCTCGCAAAGGAGTTCCTTGGTGCTGCCAATGACAAGCGGAAGGAAATCCTCTCCAATATGGAAGAGGAGGTTGTGAAGCTCAGTGGTTCTGCTGCAAAGTAAACTCTAGTCTAAGTTGCATTTATTATTTTTGCAATGACGTTATCTGTACATGCAAGTTGAACCTTGGCATTTACATATTTAAATCAGGCATGGAAAGGTCTACATTGCCATTGCAAAGAAAATCCTGGACAAAGGTCACGACTATACCAAGAAGGAAACAGAGAGGCTTGAACGCATGTTGGAGAAGGTGGGAAACCGTGATCGCCAATCCAAACTTTACTATCACTTGTCATCTTACATAATGAACGACTTGTACTTATACAATACTTTTTTATTTTTTTTGCTTCCTGCAGTCCATCAGCCCATCAAAGGCCGATGAATTCATCATCAAGAAGAACGTCCTTTCAACCTTCTCTTCCTAAGGCGATGTCAAACTCCATTCTTATCTTTGGGATATAGGTATAAGGGAAAATGACAGAAAGATTAGGAATGTATTCATGAGAGGCCGTTGGCGGTAGAACTAATTTTGTGGGTTTTCCCTTAAGCATACATGTATCCTATTGCCTGGTGCGGATGTTTTAATTCTTTGCTCATGGTTACATGGATTCAGTTTGTAGTAAAAAAATAGGGGTTTACTGTCAGGTGGAGAGAAAGATGTTAACCTTGATACATGTTACGACATTGAATTTCAGTCTGATAATAAAGTACCCTCATGGGTCTGAATCGCTCAAAGCTGAATGCACCAAATGGTGTTCTTTTGCCTGTACAGAACTTTTGGCCAGGGCAGCACCCGTGGACATAGCAAGTAATTTGCATTGGGTGTCTTTGCCTGGTCCGCACCCGGCTGTTAAAAAAAAACTAGTGTAACTTGTGTAATTCTTGGCCATTAACAAACGAAGCGACGCCATACTGACATACGGAGTGTAGCATCATATTCCACAACATCTGTCCGCGTGGCTACTGCATTAGTTAGCCATGTAGTGCTCATCCTAAGAGTAAGGTCAATAGTGCAGCTAGCAGTAGACACCAAAATTTTGTTGTCTCAGGTAGAGCTAACATCTGTTCGCGTGGCTACTGCATTAGTTAGCCATGTAGTGCTCGTCCTCGTCCTAAGAGCAAGGTCAATAGTGCAGCTAGCAGTAGGCTCCAAAATTTTGTTCTCAGGTAGAGCTAACATCTGTCCGCGTGGCTACTGCATTAGTTAGCCATGTAGTGCTCGTCCTAAGAGCAAGGTCAATAGTGCAGCTAGCAGTAGGCTCCAAAATTTTGTTGTCTCAGGTAGAGCTAACTTAAAGAGTAACTCATACAACAAGCTAACTACAAGTTAGCTATAAATTGTTTTGGTTCAAACGAATTAACAAGTAGTAGGACCCACAAACGAATTTTTTATTGTATCTTCTGGCCGATACAGCGTGGGGCGCTATGCAAGCGCCGGCGCGAGCCGGCTTCTTTCTCATCTGTGATTTTCTTTCCTAAATCTCGTTTTAGGCTAATTAATAAGTTTTGGAGCCTTCCTAATATCCCTATTGTATCTGCTCTAATAATGCACTTTCGATAATCATTACAAAATTAGTACGACAATTTTAGAAAATAGGTGGGGATGAATCATTTTGTAGCTAAACGACATGACTTGCTTTGTGTATGCACTTTGGTTAATCATTAAAAAAAGTTTAATTGAGGGACCTAATTAAGATGTCTGTTTGCGAGAAAAAAATAAGAGAGAGAAGATACCATTTGAATCGTAAATTAATTAATCAATGAAAAAAATTAAGTAAGAAGAGATAAGCGATAATAACTATAGCTAATAAGGAGAACTTAGGATTATTTTAGCCACTTATTGTATGGCGATCTTTTGGGTGCTTCCCCTCCCCCCCCCCTCCCCCGGGGGTAGGACTAGCTACGTTCGGCTACTCTCCACGACGGTCAATTTGGTGCTAGTGGATTCTTAGGATGTGTTACGTGCTGCTAGCACGTGGTAGTGTGATTTCTTTTTCTGGTTATAGCTTTTCAGATTACTAGCCTAGAGTCCATGCGTTGCAAAAAAAAATTAAGTTTTTAGCTTATTAAATCAATTTATAAGCACTTATTTAGGTAACACTATAATTTTTCCTATTGAACAAATATATGATTTTGAAATTTGGAGGGAGTCAATAGTGAATAGTGAAATAGGAGTGACCTTGTTGAATGGTGGTATAATACTCCCTCCATTCTAAATTGATCTACATATAGTTTTTTTAAGATTACTCCTAAATGATCTACATATTTGTGTTCATTTATTAAGTCTATTCGTTATTTGTGCATTGGAGTAAATGGACATTGATGCATGCATCCATACACACAAGTATTTATAATCCACAGGCAATATCTTGATTTGCTATTGGCTAGGAAATAGTGGGGATGGTGCATGCATTGAGTTTGTTGTTAGAGTAAATATAGTATGAGAGAGTTATTAGTTTTTTTTTTGGTCTTAGTATACCTATGAAATATATAGATCAATTTGGAATGGAGGGAGTAGTATAGATCGTAAGGTCATAAGTTAGTGGTAGGGATGATTTGGTCACCACCGCTACTAAGGGGCTGTTTGGTTCATTACTTCAACTTGCCACACCTCCTTAGCCTTGTGTTTGGTTCATTGCCATAGTTATGGCAAGCCACACTTTCTTACCATCTTACCGCACATGTTATAGACTCAATTCTTTGCCTAACTTTGCCATAAGTGTGGCTTACAATTTATAGGCCACAAAAAGTGTGGCAAGCCACACTTGCCTAACATTATTTAAAGTGAGTTATGGCAATGTTAGTTAAGAACCAAACAACCCCTAAGCCCCAACATATAGGCGTGCTGGGCCTTTTTGAACTGGGCTGACCCTTTAACGAGATTGTGTACTTTCTAAGTTTCTATCCACATTCGCAGGACAAACGTCAAACGGTGCGTTACGTAGTTCCAATGCCCCCAGTAAAACGGTGAAAATTGGTAAGTAGAAAAAGAGAATTCCTTATATCCAAACAGATCGGATTCAATTGGATAGATCTATCTATACGGTCAAAATTGAGTGCAGGACCTCCGACTGGTTTACCTATACGTAATTTATGTAGTATACATTCCATAATAGCCATAATCCCCTCAAGATCTCGTTCTTAACACACCTAATTAATGCTAAGCCGCGCCTGTCTAGCGGCGCGGCGTCAGAGCGAGAGTTAGACGCGGAGTCCATCCGCGTCTCCTCCCCCTATATATACTCCTCCTCGCCACCGCCCGCCGGTCGCCTCGCCGCGCCGGAGTTGGAAGCTCGCGAAGCAAAGTTAGCTGCTCGTTCGATCGGAGGAGGAGGAGGAGGAGCAGAAACGGCAAACCGCCATGGCCGGGAGGAAGGAGACCGTGATAAAAATGGCGAAGGAGCTCTCCGTGCTCTGCGACGTCCCCGTCGCGCTCGTCTGCGCCGTCGGCGGCGCGGTGGAGGTGTGGGAGTCGGAGGAGGGCGTCCTCGACCGGTACCGCGCCCTCCCGCCCGAGGTCCGCGCCACGCGCGCGCACACGCACCGGGGCTACCTCGAGCGGGAGCTCCGCGCGAGGAGAGCCAAGCTGGCCAAGGTCCGGGAGGAAGGCGCGTTCAAGTCGTGGGGGCGCGACGCGCTCAGCGGCATCATCACGGCGGAGGAGGCGCCGGCGCTGCTCGAGTCCATCGACGCTGCGATCGCCGCCGCGACCGCGAGGCAGGAGGCGCTTGCTCTACTGGACGGCGGCGGGCTCCATCTGCAGCACGTCCCGGCGAGCGCTTCCGACGCCGTCGCGCCTGTCGTCGGCGGCCACGGCGTCCAGGTCCAGTACATCGGCGGCAGCGGCGGCGGCGGCGGGAGCCAGCAGGAGATGACGCCGGCAGCCGACGGAGATGGCGCCCGCAACGCCGACCAGTACGACGACATCCTCCCGTGGGATGGCAACACCTTCGAGGCGCACAACGCCCACGTGATGCTGCCCGCGTGCGGCTTCCAATGCACCGGCGACTACCGCGTGGACATGGACGGCTACGTGTGGGGAGCCCCGGATGATGCCAACGCCTACCATGGCTGGCCCGATGAGGCAATGTGGTGCACCGACGAGTCGTGCTCGTGCAACGCCGCCACCGCCACCGCCGTGCCAGCCATGTATCATCCCCCCACCCTGGACACCGTCCACGGGAGCTTCCTCGCCGCGCCAGCTCAACCACTCGCCTTCAGCACCGGCGCCGACTTCATCAACGCGCCGAACGACTTTCTCACCGTGGGCGTCGGCGGCAGCTTCATCAACGTCGGCGACTACTCGGCGCAGAGCTTGGCCGACGAGTTCCACCACCTCAGCGACGCCACCAACCAGCTCGATCAGACGCACTACCCACCATTCGGTGGAACGGGCGGCGCCGAGCCCGGCGACACGCAGTCCCATAGCTGGGGGGACTACTACTTGGCGCAGAGCTCCGCCAATGAGTGCCAGCTGCTCGGCGTCGACGGCGGCGACATCCATCTCGATCAGACGCATTGCCTCGGTGGTGCGGGCGGCGCCGAGCCCGGCGACACGAAGTCCCACAATTGGGGTGGCTGATCTCATCTCATCTCGCCACCAGCTTCGCGGCATCCTCCATGGATGCATCCTTAAAGTCTAGAGAGTCCAAGAGTCCGGTGCGGAGGCATTGCGAGTCCGGCAATTTTGTGGGAGAAGGACGGCCGCCGGATTCGATCGTCGCCGTCGCGCCGCCACCGCCGCCTGGTTCCCGAGCAATTTCCTGGCCAACCAGCGAGGGAGACGGGCTATTTAGCTATGTCTCATACATCTTAGGTTACAAGTGAAGATATGATCGATAGGAGAGTTGTGTGCATCAGCAGCAGCTCAGCTCGGAGGGAGAAGATGATGATCAGCTAATTTTTCAGCTTGGCACAGTTCATCTTCCAGAAGTTATAACATAGGAGCTGTAGCAGTTGACAGTAATGTTACTTTGTTAGGACTTAGGAGAAGATCGGGCAATTTTGTAAAATACAGAGTACATACTTGGATAACCATATTATTATTCTTAGTAAAAGAGTGTATGCCATTATGTCAGTGGAAGTTGTAAATCCCATCTTTATCCTTTTTGGCATTAACATGATTACATTAAGAATTGGAATAAGTTCAAAGAGTGAAAGACCAATGCATTTAGATGGTGCAAATCAACTAGGTGTTAAGCTTACCTCTAAAAAGGTATAAAGGTGGAAGGGAGTTAGTATGGAAATTGGAATAGTTCATTCTTAGTTCAATATGTTTTGATCTTGTTGATACCATCTTCTAATTAAGTAGTAGTTCAGGACTAATTGAATGGTAGTTATCATCCTCCAAAAATAGGCGTACTTTCAATCACAACATTGTCTTGATCAGGCGGCCTAATAATTTACAAGAATTAATTAAGATGTGTATAAATTCCAAGGCACGGCATGGAAGATTGTCCTAGCATAGATGTTCATTTAGAACTTAGAACCAATTTAGAAGACGGTGATGACTGATATTAATTTTCATCTCTCGAGGGGATGTCTTCTCGTTGTTTGAATGTCATCTAAATAGTTATAATTTTTTTTGAAAAAATTAACAACACTGATTAATATGAAACATATCAATCCACAAACACATGCATAACCAAATTCAATTTCTACAAGTTACAACTAAAGAATAAATTCAACTGAAAATAGTTATCATACATTCACAGCTATATTTGTTATTTTTGTTA